TGCATTACCGCCACCAACTGCTTGATTTCCTCCTTCAATACTGGCAGTAATATCGCAGATCGTCACTAGGAGGCGAGGAGTCGAGGGACCAAGATGGTGTGATGTGTAAACGGTCGTCAGAACCGAGCTCGGCCTGGTTAACTGATCCGAGCTTCTGCCGGTCTTGGCATGGATCGGTTTTTCAAGGGTAGTGTAAATGGGGTATTAGAGTAGCTCTTAAATGGGAAGCTTAAAAGAAAGACTGCACGGTTCAACAATTTATTTTGATCGCTAAAATCCAAAAAGGGTGACGGGATATGTGTTACAACCTTTTTAATTTAATATTCCTGAATAAAATCCAGTGCAATCGATTTGCTAGGGAATGTTAACTTTAGCACAATCGTGAAGGCAAGGGATACATTTAGGAAGCAGATTAAAGTGACGACACTTCTGTAAAGCTACCAAGACGTGGCAGCAAGACAAGCAATATTCAGGAAAGCAATTGCATGCATACTGTATGTTAAAATATTATCTGTGAAGGGAGGTACTGTATTACAGCAATACCAATACCACAACATTTCTACTACATTGATGACAGCATTATGCAGCTGTGATGCGTTATTGATGACAAAATGGTTTGATTTTTTTTTTTTCAGTAAATGACAAATATGCAAAGATGAATGAAATCATGTCACCCTATTCAAAGTTTTGATTCATAAAACATAAAAACTTTACTTTTAATATTCAAACTTGATAATTATACACTATTAATGTTTGGATTCATAAAGCACATTACATTTGTTGGTTTTAATGTAAGTTAATGTGCAAAAAAGTTGAAGAGTTTTGAATACTTTCATAAAAATGTGTAATGATAAAAAAAAGTCGAAGTTCTGATCATTTTTTTCTGAAAGTCATTATGATTGTAATACATTAAATGCAATGAGGAACTACAAGGGGAAATTTCTCTGTGATGTCAGTGAACCATGCGTCACAACAAATTGGTGTCTGTCTGATAGTGTGTGTCACTATTTGGTGTCCAGCCCTATGCTGTAAGTGCCTTGCTCGCTCTTCTGTGTCCTGCCTACAGACACATGTACCCATTTATCAAACCTTAACCCTAAAGAAGAGTAACTGTAATATTATTATCCACACAGACTACTAAACACATCTCTCTTCCTGGTCTTTTTGCCCAACCCTGTGACTCACTTAATATTATTGTGACAGAAAGGGATCTCTGTTGTAACTAATATGAAGGATATGAAATTAAACATTAAAATATTTCATTAAACTACAGGAAACTCTATAATAATTAATCAAAGTATACATGTCCATCATATCATGCAACCTAAGATTAAAGATTGAACTGGTGTCAGAACCCCCGCCCAAGTACAAACGAACAATCTCTGCTGGCCTTCTACATGCCTCAAAGTTATGTTCTGACAATAGAAATGGGTGTAGCTTTGTGATCATTGACATTTTTCATAGTATGTAGCCAGGTACACACACCTGACATGCTTACTGCATTTCAGAGAACCCTTTTACCTGGGAAAACTGTTTATAAATACTTCCAGTAACGCAGCATCATAAACTCACAATAAACACATAACAGTTCACAGATTAAGAGACTGATAAGAGGTCATTAAACCTGTGGAGTACAGGATTACGTAATATTTCTTGAGGCGCTAGATTTACAGCTGCCGCTACCCCTTTTTTATTGCCTTTTGTAGCTCTAGCTGTGCCACAGGTGACTTTAAAAGGTGAGGCTGCTGTGAACACACCTATGACTCGGGGAAAAGGGTGGATTTAATTTACTACAGTGAATTTTATGTCCCTTCGTTTCTCTGAAAATGTGGGCTTGTGCTCTAAGACCCTTTAAAACAGCAGAGGCATTTGACTTGTGACTGTAAATTTCGAGTGCTGCTTAGAGACCCAAGAAGGAATCATTATTCTCCTCACTGTAAGGCAGACGGAGCATAAATTTGTTTCTGTTTGTTATGTTAGTTTTAGTTTTTAGTTTTTTTGTGCTAATATGACTTTCTCTCCACAGTTTTTGACCTCACTGCAGCTGATCTTATTGAAGTTTGGAAATTAAAAAACGATGCGTTCCACTGCAGAGGGACCACCATGCCCGCCTGGGGTAGTAGAGACAAGCAGCAGCAACAACAACAATAACAACAACAACAACCAGATGAGTAGCAGAGAAAACAATGGAAATTCAGGCTCCCAGTATGCTCTATGTGCATTGGGGGTTGGACTCATTGCCCTTGGAGTAGTGATGATTGTCTGGAGCATAGTGCCTGCTAACACAACTTTTAATAGCAGCAGCAGTGGTAATTCAGGGGGGAATGGTGGCATGGAGAGCAAAAGACATAAAGCGTCCTCTGTGGCCTTTGTGCTGGCCGGCTCCGGGGTAGCTATGCTGCTGCTGTCTCTGTGTCTTGCAATGAGGAACAAACAACAAGAGAGACTGAGACACCAGGAGGTCCTAAACCGGAGAGAAGCAGAGAGGGAGCAGGAGACAGAAACGTGAGTTCAGTCATGAATATACCTGATTTGTTTTTAGGTCAACAAATACAATAATAATAATTACTGTATAGATTAGGCATTCTGTCTCATTGAGTCTGTTTGGGATAGGAATATTCTCTGAATGATTTGGGTTTTTTTTAAACGTCTTTGATGTTTAAAAAAAAAATGTATTTAGTAGCTAACATGCTAAAGCTTCTGGTAAAGTAAAGAAAAATCTACTTTTAGAATGTTTTTACTGCTTTGATTAGTTTAGCATAAGAATGTTAACTTACTTTTTTTTTTTTTTTTTATGTTCGATTTCCATGGACTAAAAAGCTTTTAAAACACATTGATGATGATAGCAGAGCAAAAGAAATCAAACTTCTCAAACGTGTGTGTCGTGGGAGGGTTGAGCTTCATGTCTTACTCTTATATCTAATGTAGATTTGCTCTGTTTTGCTTTGAGATCCTTTTAAAATGAAAGTCTGCCTCACCAAAGTAGAAAAAAAGGCATTTTAGACCCCTACCAGCCAAGGTGGGGTAGTCTTTATATAAATTACTAGACAGAGGAAGAACTTTAAATAACAGCTTTAAGTCATTTTATAATTATATATTAGAAACGATAGTTTATGTTAATGATAGAACTTTTTCATGCTTAATGGTAAAAAAGAATAAAATAAATCATACATCTGTTTTGCTTTCTTTGCTTTTTCACAAATTTTTAAGGTCACCTTGCAGCTACCACTTTCACAACTATTGAAAAAAATCTGTTTTAATAGTAACTGACAGCATATTCGAAATATTCAGCAGTGGTATTGTGTGATTTCTTTTATTTATATGTCGAAAGCCTAGTTACGGTAGCTCCAGAGGTGTCAAAAGTATGGATGTTTGTTACTCAAGTAGAAATATAAATTCTACTGTTTACAAATACTATTGTAGAAGTTAGAGCATCAACTTAAGCTTTTTACTCAAGTCAAAGTATAAAAGTACCATTTTTAAAACTATATAAAGTATAGAAGTGAAAGCAATGCAGGAAATACATGATCACCTTCTCAATTTTATCTTTAGACTGCTTTAATAAAAATCGTCAAGATCCGCTCTTTACTGTATTGAACCTGTTTTTTTTTATTTTGTTTCCAAGTTTTGATAATTGAAATTTATTGATCTTACTTTGGAGAAATTTACCTCTGTATTTAACCCACCCCCTTGGGGGATGGGCTGCCATCGTGGAGCGCCCAGGGAGCAATGTGGGGTTAAGGGTCTTGCTCAGAGACTCAAAGTGGCAGTCTGTGGCAGTGAGGCTCGAACTCCGAACCTCAGGGTTCCAAGCACTATGCCCTAACCACTAGGCTGCCACTCCCCACATTTTCAGATAAAAGATTGAACTTTCCTGGTGTGATCAGGGATCAAAAACTTGGCTGTCGAAGGCCTATAATAACTACATAAGCAGACAAAAAAAAAAAAAAAATCATGTACACTTCATGAAATCTGAGGAGGATTTATTTCTCCAGAATTAAAGACAGTAAAGGCAATTTTTATTATTTTTCTAGGTATATATATGTATAGAAATCTGACAATTTCACTGACCCAGCACTGAGTGATTTGCATGATATTGATTTAAGCGTTTCCATCTCTGCAGGGCTGAGGAGCAGGCCCAGCGCTATGCAGTACCCAGCTATGAGGAGGTAATATGCAGCGGGCAGTACCCTGTTCGCCAGAGCAACCTTCGTCCAAGTGTCTCCCAGCTGCCATCCTATGACGAGCTGGTCCAAAGTGACAGCATCCAATACGAGAACGAGGGCGCCGAGGTCAACACTACCATACCACAGCCTGCCCTAGCCTGTATAGCTCCCTGCGCCACGGTTTCCACATCAAGTCACAGATCAGGAAGAAACAACCGCAATTTCCTCCCCATCAAAATACGAAGGATTAAGTCAGAAAAACTACCCATGAAAAACACTGGTAGCTCCCAACCTACCGATGGAATCAGTATTGAACCTCTTACCCCTCCACCACAGTATGAAGACAAGGTGCCTCCACTTTAAGATTTATAGCTTAAAACTTTTGACAGAATTTCCTGGTAGCTTCCATGTCCAGTGTTTGTGGATCTGGATGTGCTTTGCTCGGCCTAAAATTGAATGTGGCTTCTTGCTTTTGGGTGAAGCATATTATTTGCTGAAGTTTGTCATCATGGCTCATGATGGTAAATTACCCTACAGAGAAGCCTGTCGTTTATGGGCCTTACTGGATCATACCATGCAGAGACAAAGTTATGTCAAGCTGTGTTGTTTTAAACTCTAAATCCAGCGTTCTATGTTATGAAGTCGCACTCCTCTCCGTGTTGATTTAAGAGGTGAATTGATGGTAGGTAATAGTGCAGTTAATGAGACATTAGAGAGGGCTATCTTTGAGGAGTTAATCGGTAAGTGCCATTTAAATACTTGTGATTATTGAATCTAACTTTTTTATATCTGTGGTATTTCATTAATGAAAATGGTTGAATTTTAAAAGAATGTAATCATTCTGCTCATGCTGAAGGCTAGCAGTCTCGTGGAGCTGTTATGTCGTAGCAAAACCAGCTTACATCTGCAGTCATGTGCAGATGCTTGCATTTCACTGACAAGAATGCCCTGTCGGATGAGATTTAAAGGTTGTCACAGCTGCCTGCAAACTGTACTCCCTGATATTGTTTTTTTTTTTTTTTACAATCCGAGATTCGTTATTTGTAGGCTTTTTGTACATCTTTACCAAGGGTGCCTAGCAATAGGAGGGACATCTCACTGGATTCATATGTTTACATGTTTGATGAATAAATAAAGCAGTTTAAAATAGAAATACCACTGTTAAAATTTGTGGTGCAAACTATGTTTTATATGTATGTAAAGTGGCTCGTTTAAAAAAAAATCTAAGTTAATCAGATGCCATTCACATGCGAAACATAGCTGTACTCACAGCTTGTGCAGCAGCCTTGGTAACAGTGGTACAGTTGTGATTGGTAACCAGTTAAAAGAAATTGCCTTTAACAAAGAGGACATGGCTTTCCAGGAACCATGCATGAAATTAGACAGGTGCTGCTGATTTAAGAAAATGCTAATATCTGACTTGAATGCATCAATGAACACCCTCGAGCTGTAAACACCAAAGGCTTTTCTAACTCTTAGAACTTTTAAAACATCACATGACTTCAATATTGATCCTTTAAGGACGGTGTTGCTGCTCGTTCACAGTGAGAGATGCATAGGAAAAAAGATGATTGCAGGAACTTGGTGAATAGTTTTAAGGCAGTGTTCCATGGTGACTTCTGAAAGGTGGCAGTGTAGTCTCTCCTTCTCAGGGCCTATTTTTTTTATTTTTTTTTCCCTTACTCTGGCTGACCAACAGAAAGACTCTTTGAGTGAGCAGCTGCACCACAAAAACAGCAGCTCCTCACTGGCTTGCTGATCATCATTCCTTCAACCACAGCTTGACTTGCAGTGCTGTTTTCACTCAGACGGTATGCAGGGAAAAAAAACAAGGACAATAAAAATAGATGGTTCCAGACTTTTATTTTTCCTTTTTCAGGGAAGGGAATAGTGTTACAGCATTAAAGGAGCCTCTCAGCACATTCATCTTTCTTTATAAGTTTAAGTATAACCAACCCATGCCCAACTAAGTGACTCATCTGTCATTTAAGTCAATGTTACTCATTTTGTGAAGTTGCACATTTAAGCTTTTTCTCTTTTTGTTTTTTTGCAAAGAAAAAAAGCCCTTTAAACTAGTGTTTCAATTATTTAAACTTGTCACATACTGCATCAGTTCGGTTTTGTAGACACATTACCAATGTACCGTTTGTTTGAAAACTTTTCCAGCAATAACTGTACATGGATTGTTTTACATTGAAGTATATGGATGTAGAAGTCACTTTTTTTTCTACGAGGAGTTTGTTATCCTTTTCATTTCATGTTGCCTTTTTGGGACTACAATTTCTATATTTTATATGTGCTGTGAAAATATGTAGATTTTTTTATTTGTATTATAAAAGTATATATTTTTTGTAGAAGTGTGAAATGTCATTTACTTTATGAATATTTATGATAAATAAAAAGTGTTTGTTTATGATTTCTGGGAATTACTGGCTGTAGTAATTGATGTTGACAAGACTAAACTCTTAAGATAAACTGTGGAAAACACTACTATAGACTTCATACAAGACTTTATTCAAAAAAGGTGAAGAAACTTGAAATTCTAGGACATTAACAGCATTTGGGGAATGGTGTCCCTCTTTAAATGCAAAATTTGCACCATAGATTTAAGAGTAGTTGATTCCCAAAGGTGCAAAGGAACACGTAGGAAAGCTGAAAGACATAATTATTACAGAAACATAACAAATGACATCACCATAAAATTTTTATAGATGGATTTATCCTTTCTTGTCTTAGACATTGTTCTGCTATTTTCGCTAGAGCTCATAATTAGTTGGAATACTACAGGCCATATCAGAAAAAAAGTTGTATTTTCTCTGTTGTGACTTATAATCCAAAGTAAAGTGCAGAAATTAACTGCTTCTCACTTTGTTCATTTAACCTTTGAATGATCTGAATAATGTACAGACTGCAGAATGTTGCAACCCACATCAGAGCTAAAACTTACAACTCTTCCAAAAGACTATCTGGGTTTTGGCAAAATTCAGAGCCACAAGAGTCTCGCTGTAGGTGAGATAGTTAATCAGGCTATGCATTTTCCTTTTTTCTGTTTTCCCTTTTCTGAAAATGTAAACATTATATGAAGCTTTTAGGTATACAGTACTTAAATTCCAATGCAAACCTTTGGTACAGCAAGCTGTAATGTTTCAGTAGCGAGGACAGACCATAAGTCGAGCTTCAAGAAGGTGACATGTCCAACTAAAAGCAGGGGGAACTGCTAAAGAATGTGAGCTCCAAGATTACTGACTGTGACGAAGATATGAATGTTTTAGGCTAAATTGAATCAACAATTTTTTCTTTAGGTAAACCCCGTTAGGTTTAGAGGATTTCTGTCAATAGATTTGAGCTGGACAGACATTATATATCCAATATTAAAGCACATTTTTTAAAATATAGAGTTACTTGCTGTTTTTGATACAGCAAGATCTAACATGCATGCAAAGCTGTTTCATCATTTAGAGACAAATAATTGTTCTTGAGGAATGTCAGCCTGAAGTCTACAGTGCCTTGTTAAAGTATTTAAATGTTTTGAGCTTTAACATTTCTCACTACTCAACCATAAACTTATGTTTTCTTTTAGCGTTTTTTTGTGACAGATTAACGTCATAGGTTTACATTTGTGAAAAAAAAACAAAACAAAAAAACATACGCTTATGGATGCATAATTCAAGGTAATGTTATGTTATACCACTACAGGAAATTATTTTTGCAAAGATATCATTTGATTATGTTTCATCCTATTGTGAAGGTAAGGCAGCATGCGTCCGACTTTTGGGTCAGCTAATAGTGAAGCATTGTCTTGTAGTTCTTTGAGCCACTCACATGAAAGACAAACCCAGCTGTGGACGTGCAAGGCCCCATATAGGAGGACTACATCCAGATCGAAAATATGACGCCATGATTATAGTATTAGAGAAAGCTGCAGAGGAAGACAGCTCCATCAGATCTTCATGTCACTCTTGTAAAAACCAAATAATACCTTTCGGTTTAGGAGAATAAAATAAACAAAAGCCAGTAAATACTACAGTATAGTTCAGCAATAAAACAGCATTCAGGTCAACTGATCACTCACTCTCCTATGTAAACAAAAATCATCAAGCAAAGTTTGGTTACTTCCGACAAGGCAGGATGTGTTTTTCCTCATGAGTAATATCCTCAGATGTGACTTAATGAACCATCTTCATAGGCTCTCCAAGCTGAGCAGCTCCACTCAGTAAATGTTGACTTTGTCTATAAATATGTCCTAAAGAGAAATTGTCCTTCTGTCCATTAGAACATGTTTTAGTGATGTTTGTTTGTCAGATTTATAATTCTCCAGATATTGGGACACTATTATTAATTATATTCACTACATAAATCAAGCACCTATTTTTATTTAAGAGAGTTATCTTATTATTCCCTTCATGTAGCATTTGAACTATAAATGTCCTGTTTTCATTAGTGGAAAGTGGAAAATCCAAACCAATGGCTCAAAAAAACCCTTTGAATGATAGTTTATCCTTATACTGTAATGCATTTTACTTAGTGAATTAAGTTACTGAAATGAATTAAATATTCACAAATTTCTAATTTACTGAACATGTTTTTCCATAGTTTTTTATGGTTTGAAAACAAGAAAAGGTTTACAGATGTTTCTGCTATTATATGCAGGAAATCACAACTAGATTGATAAGCAAATGTTAACATTAACTTAAATCACTGTAAACATTTTACTGCACCTTATTTTATATAATGAAAAATAATTACATATTACTGGGAAATAATTTATTAAAAAATTAAAAGTACAAGCAAATGGGAAAAGCTTTTGAACACACTTCATCTTATTGGCTACAGAATAAACTTCCCAGATCATCCAATGAATTAGGCTAAAGTGGAAGCTGTTATAAAGAACTTATTCTTTTCCCAACTGCACGTTTGTTTCTAGGAGGAAGCAGGATCAGAAAGGTTAGAATCAATACATAAAAGTCACTGGAGACCAGAATTAAGTTTCACCCACTGTATTAAGCAGAGTAGGTAGATCAGGTTCCAGGTGGAGCTGAAGAGCTGCCTTTGAAAGGGAAGTCTGGGAGTCTCTGCTGAGAACGCTGCCCCCCAAACCCAGTCTCAGATAAACAGAAGACCAGTACAAGCAATAAACATTCTTAAAAAGCTTAAAACCAAAGGGCTAATAATAATCTGATAACATTAAACTTTCAATAAAGTTAAAATCCTTAGAAAGCATTATAAAACATCACAAGAAGGATAAAGATCTTCTGACTTTTAGTTTTCAGTCTTGAGGTTCCAGAATACATATCTTGGGTCAATGTTACCCGCACCTTTGGTACAAAATCTAAACATATAAACTGACCTACAGAAAGTTGTCACATGTCGTTTTTTGAAGGCCCTGACTGTAACTGGCATGCATGTAGTGCCCTCTGCTGTTTGGCTAAAGCACTACCTCAGATATACCAAAATAATATGAAAGACTGCATTAATTCACATGACAAGGTGCAAAAATATCAGTTATTTTAAAGACCAAAGGTCTTAGATCCCAACACTAAATCAGAAAGAACATCAACCTATTTTCCAGGTTGTAAATCTCTGATACACCCAGTGAGGTTTTTGGAAATTCAAGTGTAGGAAATAGCATGGAATTTCCATAAACAGCCAATTCACACTTAAGGTGTGTATCCTTTATTTTATTGTGAATTAAACATCAAACGCATGTCAGAGACAAAGGAAATGTCAAATGGTTGGTGATAATATTTTTCCATTATGTTTATAATCCATGAGGACAAGAGATGTTTCAGTGATTGAGCAGTCAGTTTAGTTATATGAAAAATAATTAGTTAAAGTGCACCCTTATGCTGGATTCCTTCATTGGATGTGTTCTTTTTCTTTTCTAATCTGTTGCTTTTTATCTTAAAGGAAACGGTCAATCTTGAAAGATATAAAAACAATAACAAGAGAGATCATGATTGTATACAACCATTTAGGAAATCTATAATCGAGTATCCTCTTTAAGGTGGCATTATCTATAGAAAGCTTTTAAGGAAATGTTAGATCATGTAAACGTGTAACATGAAGTACTTGAATTTCTTCTGTGCTTTTTTGTGTGTTAGGTGTTTTTCACGCTTATCTTAGATTTTGGTTTATAATTTATCCTTGCTACCTCTACATTATTTTTGTTTTGTTTCTGTCATGTTTGATTTCATATGTTGGATTATCCCAGTGTCTGTTCCAGTTGATTATAAGTTGTCCACTTTTCCTGCCAATTTGCAGAAAATGAGTTAAATATTGTCCACCTGTGTTATACGGTAAGGTTTCTGATGTGCTAAGCATATATATTCTTTAGTTCTGTTTACCTTTGGCTGAAACATTATTTGTGCCCATGCTATGCTTTGTTTTACTGTTCACACTTCACTAGACTTTACAGTGTTTGTGAAAGTTTTACTTTTACTCATTTCCTTAAATCTTATTTATACTCATCATTCTGCTCCTCCTCATTTGTCCAACTCCTTGTAGGACAGGGAGACGGTTGAATTCAAATATATACCACCCTTTTCAGACTATTTAAAAAAAAAAGAAGAAATCTCCTTCCCATAATAACCAATTATCAGTATTTTTGAATTTGAATTGAAATGTGTAAAGTTTCAATTTGTAAATAAATTCACAAATTTAGCATGTACTGTCCAGCTGTTTTACTTAAAGTAAGTATGAGTAATACCACAAGGGCACTTATGCGCTTAGTTTTGTTAAGTTAGAAAATGATCAGTACAACAGTCATGGTTTGCAATCTTACCATAATTTAATTTATTTATTATTCTTACCTTTCATCCAGAATCAATTTAGTCCCCGAGATGTTACCTACTTTATATGGTTATAATTGGTTCTTATTTATATGTGTTTACTCAAGAAATCCTTAGTAACAAACAGAATTTTAATTGAATGACTTTATACCACTTTGGCAACAAACATCTTTCCTAATTGTTAAAAGTCAGTATAAGCTGGTTCCAATGTTTTTCTCATTTTCTATAAGACTCACACACTGAGTGAATAAAAATTAACATGACGCAAAATATCAAGTATAAGAAAAGATTTTATTTCATTTAGACTCTAAATTTAAGAATGACAAGAGTGACACCTTTAGTCCTTTAATGTGCTCTATTAGTAGGCCACCATTTTCTGTAAAAGAAATCACAAAAACATATTAGGCTTTTATAAAATGTATCACATTAATATTTTGAACACTACAAATATCGGTGTAATAGCTGTTTTCAAAGCTCACATTGTTGATCCAGTCCAGGTAAGAGCTGACTTGAGTAAAGACAGTTGGCTTCTTGTGGTAGTTGCAGCTCAGTCCAGAGCCAAAGCTAACAATACCATGAACCTCCCAGGCTCCATCAGAGCCCACACAGTTCAGAGGGCCACCAGAGTCTCCCTAAATAGTCCCATAAAAACAAATAGTCAAAAAAGCACAATCTAAGAGTTTAAATGTGACACACCTATGTGCATATCTGAAAGGTTTCATGGATTTTAAACCTCTGCACGTTTCAGCACATTTTAGAGAGTAACATATTTACAATGTTTTAAGGTAATATGTAAAAATGTCACTCTGAAATTCTGATATTGACACATATTGATATAGGTCAGGTATTTAGGTATAAGTCCTGCTCAAAAGCTTAGTAGATAAATGATCAAAAGGATTCAAAGTTCTGAGAATATTTTTTTCATGAAAAAAAAAACAAAAAACTTATCCATTAATACCAACAGGAAGAGTGAGTGTTTATGGATTGACAATAAATATTACAGAATATTATTGTTTCAAACTCACATTACATCCTGAGACAATTCCGTCTCCACCAGCGCAGACCATGTTCTCCGTCACCTGAGAGCCCCACCAGTCGGACTGGCTGCAGGTAGCGTGGTCCACAACAGGCAGCAGAGCCTGCTGCAGGATGTCAGCAATGGGACCTCCAGCTGTGCACAAAAAAGATGCAAATTCTCTTTAGCTAAATACTGCTGGTAAACCACTAAATAGCCATCACCATTAATCTATCTTATTGTAACTTGGCTAATTAACAAATACATTAAGTCGGGAATAAACAAAGCACATGACCTGTATACAAAATTGTATACAATAACAATCAACCCTTCATGAAATAAGGTTTTAGAGCTCCTTTTTCAGTTTTTACATCAGTTACTCAAGTTTTATCAGCTGGCTCCATTAAAAATGATAAGAACAAGAAAAAAAAAGATACAGATTTCAAAACCACAGACAAATTTGAAATGAAATAGAAATGTGAAATATAAATTATACTAGATATATATATCAAAACTAGGATGCACAGATCATATTTTTTTCTGGCTGGTTTTATTGTTGAAATTGTGCTTGAGATCTGAATGCCAAATCAGATATTCTGTAAAAAAAAAACAAAAAAACAAAAAAACAAAAAAAAAACTTGATGTAGGTTGTTTAAAAAATATAATAGTTTTAAAATTCAACAGAAAATGTAGTATTTCTTTTTGCATTTTGGTATTGCTGGGGACAAAAATGCAGAAAACAGTAGCAAAGTAAATTCGATAAAGATAAAGATTCGGTAAGTAGGCAGAAAAAAACAACATAGCAGCTGACATAGTTAAACCAAGGAGTATTGTTACCACGTACTTTGACTAAATGAAGCTCCACAGGTTAATAAACAAATGTGAAAAAATTGTTAAAGACAGGGACATGGAGGCCCTTGGCTAAAAATAACACTAATAACAAAACACACAAGAAAATAATAAAACATACGATGCAACAATGGAACGAAAATTGTTAAACTAAACAACAAAGTTAGACATTCACAAGATTATCTAAGTTTATCTTTTTAATCATATGATCCAAATTATGTTTAACTTAAAAAAGGTGCATCAAAATATGTACTTTGGATGAATACATTAATTAACAGAAGTCATTTTTACATGGAATGAATAGGTGAGAGGATATATTCAACATTGAGCCTGCTGACCACCAGACAGAGCCACTTAAGGGAAAACTGTCCAGTGCCGGTCAGTGGTCAGTTTAGACAAGAGGCACTAAAGCTAACTGGGATTTATGAGTACCAGAATAATGATTTTTAAGAAATAATCAATATTTCATAAAGTCAAACATTAAGTTACTTAAAAGTGATTTAAATGTGCCCACTATTGAGTTAAAGGGAATCTGGATCATACTCCATCATTTTTGCAGTTTATGGAAGTATTCTTAATGTGTAACTGAATGCAACATGCAAATTCTGCATGCTAGACTTTATTAAGGATAACAACGGATGGGAAGCACAGACAGGTTAAATAAAAAAGCAACCTCAGATGATGATTTTCTGACCTGGCAAAATTAAATAAATGTAACTTACTGTAAAGACGACCCCATCCAGTCACATAACAAGGTGCATTATGTGGGAGGATAAAGCCATCAGCGGGAAGACAAGCAGGTTTGATGGTGTCAGATAATTCAACAGGTGCTTCGAGTTTGATCAGGGCAATGTCATTACTGTGAAAAAACATTCAACTTTAAAAGTACTCCAACTGTAGCCTTCTTTACAAATACAGTTCAGACCACAATGAGTTACCGAATGAAGAAAGAGTTCCAGTTCTCATGCACAATGATGTTGGCAGTACCAAGGAATGCAGAGCCATTTTCCTCCTCAATCAGGTTGTGCTTTCCCAGGGCCACTCTGTACTGCCTGCTTGAGCTACGAGTTGAAAAATCAGACGTAACAGAGATCTTTGTAAACACTGTATTCATTTTCTTTTTTTTTTTTAGCAACATGTAAAACAAAATAATTTTACATATAACACTTCAAGCCTTCATATTAATGTGTGACAGCCTCCCACCTGATACAATGAGCAGCAGTTAGAACCCACTGGTTAGAAATGAGGGTACCTCCGCAAGTGTGTCTCCATTCGCCGTTATTGTTGTACTGCAAGGAGATCTGTAAAAAATACCAATCGTTATCTTCACGTCCAGTTATCATTGTATCCGCTGGTGTTGATGTTGCTACTGTTTGAATAATTAAATTTCTGATGGAAGCTTTTTAATTCCTACTTTAATTATAAACTAATCAGGATGAGTTTTAAGTGAACTTTATTGCTTGACTTTACTGATATGTGAATACCTGCTATTAATCACTCACTTCGCTATTTAAAATAGCTTTTAAGCTTATTTATTTTCTTTACATGTCCAAATATCAGATCGAACTGCCTGAATCATTTCAGTGACCCTAAGTTTATAGGTCCCTTTAAAAGTTTTTAGCTCTTCGTATTATGTTTACCTGCCATGGCCAGCTGTGAGGCCTCACATCCTCTCCATTAACCACTCGGCTCACCACCGGCCGGAAGGTTGGATCGCCACACCCGTAGGCTAAAAGCAAAGAAATAAGTTAAAATAGCTAACTGAATCAGACTTATTTCATTTAGATATGTGGTGCAATGAATAGAGAAGTTAACATGACGAATAGAGGATAGAAAAATTTGTTGGTGTTTTTTTCTTACCACCAGCTACAAGCAAAGCAAGCACCACAAACTTCATTGTGTCAGTGTCTTCAGAGTTTGCAGCAAACTTCTGACATATTTATATCTTTCACCAACTTTCTTATGTAAACTGCAACTCTGGATCTTTTTCCTGGAAACATACCATGAGAAATTCAATGAATGAGGCGGAGCAATACACGCAGGCTAGCAGATGTAGATTTGGACTCCAAGGTTATGGTGTTTTGAGGAAGCAGTTTCTATTTGTTCCTCTAACTTTTCCAGTATTTTACTGATTTGGACTTAATGTTGGTGTGACACACTGCCTTCATAGGTCACTTAACTACTAAAAAGACTACATGTGTGCAAATAATCGTTATCAGTATAAATCCAAATATTCTGTGAAGGCGGTGAAGAGGTGTGTGAAAAAAACACTCTCATGCAGACCAAGGAAAAAAGCATACAGGCTAGGAATACAGTTTCCAAGAAGTTCAAAGCAGAGTTAGGGTCCATTCTCACAGTTATTTGACTATATACGTATATCTATGTATGTAAAACACTCATATTTCCAATTTAAAATGGAAATAAATTGTCATTTGTGCAACTCAACTCAGAGTGCCTGCGCACTCTATTATGATGTATGCTACAAATAGGCCTTTATTAAAAAAAAAAAAAAAAAAAAAAACATGATTAATACCCACACTTTTTAGAGTCAAATGATCTTCCATCAATTGGTTTTCAACAAGTCATTTAGCAGTCACAGTTAAATGGGAACAGCTGTCCCAGTCGGAAGAGACCAAAAGCGAACTTTTGCCTGACATACAAAACACTACATGCAGTAGAAAATGAATCCTTAGCAAGCCATCACTGCAGTGACACAAGGTGGTACAGTGGCAGCCCTAGCCATACAATAGTTTTATTCTATTTCATGTTAGAAGACAGATTAAGCTTACAGTAAGTTTGAAAAAGAAAATAGTAAATGATACCAAAGACTTGAAAATGGGTCCACATTTTTAATTCCAAAACAATGACCCCAAATCTCCAGTATATATATATATATATATATATATATAAAACTGTATTCGGAGCAAATGTAATTTCCCTCTGGGATTATTAAAGTATTTCTGATTTAAAAAATAAAAAGCAGAATCCTGTTTTGGAAAAGCCTACCAAAGTCCGGGGGTAAATAACTAACTTACTGTTCATAAACATCCTCCTCAATCGATCTGACTGAATATTTTTTGTAAGAAAATCAGGACATAATCTTCAGTCTGCAGTTATGAAGAGCTTGTATAGTCAAAGACTGAAGGACTTGCAGCTGTAACTCCAGTAAAATACTTTTTCTCTGTTCATTGACTCATAGAGGACGTATCTTATCATAGTGGAAGTATACAAGCACATTGAACACTTTTAACATTTATATTTCTAGAATATTATTAAGATTGTAACTCTGTTTTCTTTCATTTTGCAACTTCAGACATTTTTGTCTAGAGGAATTTACTCTTGATCAATAATACAAACTCCCAGTCCCACATTTTAACATTCTTGTTAAAGTTTTTAACTGCAAATGAATTAAAATATTATGAGTACTTTGAAATGCTTTGTTGTTGGTAATGTAAGGCAAGTTTTCTCTTTTAACTTGGTTCACTTCTTGACATGCAGATCAGATTATATTAGACATTAAAGATTTCTTTTTAACTAAAGATGAAATTATAGTAAAACACACTTTATTTACCCCATATAACCAAATGAGAAGTCTTTATTTAATAAAAAACAACAATACATCAATGAAAAAAAAAAACTAGATTTAGTACAGTTTCTCAATAAAAGTGTTTTCTAAGCTGTTAAAAAAAAAAGCTGAGCACACCAGACGACATCTGTGTGCTTCTCACAAAGATACAGTGGACATGGGAGAGATACGATGCATTTATTTTTACCTTATCTTCAAGGCTAGATTTGCTTTTCCAGTCAAATTTTCCTGGCTTAAGCTTAGAAAACTGTTCACAATTTGTTTGATGTGCCTACAATGATATGCTATATAAAGAGCTGCAAGTCACCATAAAACTCACTGACTGTCACAATGATGTTTGTGATCTTGGCCTTGTTTGTTGCTGGTGGTAAGCTAACTACGAAATTCACTGACTACAAAAATGTGTTGCTGAATGTCCTAAGCATGAGGCTGTAATCCAAATGTATTTTGGTGATCTATAATTTGCAAGAATAACAATGTTTTCTACTGTGCTGTTGTCTTGTAGCCTACGGTTGTGGCGTGCCCACCTACCCCCCTGTCCTCTCAAGGGTGGTTGGTGGAGTAAATGTCCGTCAGAACAGTTGGCCCTGGCAGGTATTTACAATTCAAATAAGATTATATAACTTGGATTGTTTCCTCAAATTATGAAACGTATGTGTGAATTTTTTATGCTCTTCTTAGGTGTCTCTGCAGTACAAGAGTGGTAGTTATTGGTACCACACTTGCGGTGGTACCCTGATCTCCAGTGAATGGGTTCTTACTGCTGCTCACTGCATCGGGTAAATTAATGGCTGTCAAGACAGCAGTTAACTTGTATCGATTTAAACTATGCAGACAAATTTTCTTGGCTGTTTGATTCTCTGTCATTACTATCACTGTTTCCCCTTGAGATGGCTCAATAATTTGTAATTAAAATCTGTGCTTTTATTTTTATTATATGAAATCAAAGAATGTTGTAATGCTTTATATGCCTTTGTTTTATTAGTTCCTTACTTATGTAATTGTTTTATATTAGTAAAGATTTTTATTGAGTACATTTTCTCATATTTAATCAGATATGTTTCTTTGTTTTTCTTGTGGCAAAACAGAAGCCGCACCTACAGAGTCTACCTGGGAAAACATGACCTCACAGCCAATGAGGCTGGGTCAGTTGCCATCAGCCCCACAAAGATCATCGTTCATCCTAACTGGGACTCTTACAATATCCGGTAGGTAATAGCTTTTTCACAAAGTATTCTCAACATGTGAGGTTTAAAGAAGCTGTCACTGTTCGATGACTGTCGATTTCTCAGTACTGCATTATAACTGATTGTTTAATCTCTATTCCACTGTCTAGTAACGATATTGCCCTGATCAAGCTTTCAAGTCCCGCAACACTCTCATCCAGCATCACCCCTGCCTGTCTCCCCACCTCTGGTGAAATTCTGCCTGATAAGGCTCCCTGCTACGTAACTGGATGGGGACGTCTCTGGAGTAAGTCCTGCGGAAACAATAAGACGGCAGATAATCAGCCTTAACGTCATCTTCCATGCTTCATGTAACATTTTAAGCAGCAGTGTCTTTCATTATTCTTCTGAAGAGCAGTTTAACAGAAGTTATCAGGAATCTTAATGTGACCTTTAGGTTCAAATGAATAATTCATTATTAAAGTTAATCTCTAAATATGCAAGTAATATTAATTTTAATTATATTACATAAACAATTTTTGGACTTCAGACTGTATTCTGAAAAATATTGTTTTTGATAAAGCTGGTGGCCCCATTGCTGACATCATGCAGCAGGCCCTCCTCCCTGTGGTCAGCTACTCCACTTGCAGCAGGTCTGATTGGTGGGGCACTTTGGTCACCAATAACATGATTTGTGCTGGAGGGGATGGTGAGGTGGCTAGCTGCAATGTGAGTCAAACTATCTAAATTTGATCAACTTAATATTTGCCTTACTTGTGCCTGTTAACTATTTTAGTGATTCAAATTTTTCCTTCCCATCCTACAGGGAGACTCTGGTGGCCCCCTGAACTGCAGGAACTCTGATGGTTCTTGGGATGTTCACGGAATTGTGAGCTTTGGCTCAAGCTTGGGCTGCAACTACCCCAAGAAGCCCTCCGTGTTCACCAGAGTCAGTGCCTACAGCAGCTGGATGGACAGTGTGAGTGGAAAAATCTTGCGTGTATGCATATGGTGCTGCATGGTAGAGGAAACTATTTGGATGCATTAGAAATCTAAAAGATTTCTTTAAATATCTGATATTTGACAAGATGACCTGTTATAGTACTGATTTAAATAATGCTTTTATATTTTACAGGTTATGACATCCAACTAAAACGACTGGAGAACTTGATGACAGATGATTTTGTTGCTTGAGAAATAAATAAATGATTAAAAAATAACTATCTTTTTGCTTCAATCAGACCTCAAACAAATGCACTCACTACATCCAAGTGTATTACATATGCATGCAAGAATGACCAGTGTAAGTGAGAAAAATCTTACCATCAACTTACCAGTGTTGCTAAGTTGATAAATTATTTTTGAGTAGAATAATTTGTAATTAATAAAATTTTTATTTATCATTTAAATCAATGATAAATAAAAAATCTGACTACATCATGACAGCCTTGAAATGGGCATGGGCTCATCAGGTATATGCCATGAATGCTCAACGGCCACCCCAGTCCTAGCTGGTGTAAAAAATATCCCAAGGAGGTTAGAGGGTAGGCAGACAGACAGCAGAAATTCTTCTTACTGTGTGACTTAGAGTTCTTTAAATCTCCAGAACCAGAATGAGAAGACTGAGGACAGGTATGCACTTGAGATTAAAACACTAAAGGAAAGAACTTGGGTAGCAAAGTGTACATTTTACTTATACTCTTGCCCATATTTACCAGCTGTCCTTTATCTCTCATGTAGCAATAAGTATCATAACAATTTTCAAACCCACATATGTAAGGTTGGGTGGAGGTTTGAAGGACCAAATGCAGAGACTGAAGCTGAAGTGGTTTATTGTAGATTTAATATAGTTTCCAACAGAAGCAAAAGTCCAAAAACAAAATACTGAAATCCAGAAAAACTTACATGAAGGGTAAATAAATTATGATGAGGAACCAGCAAACAGTGACTGAACAAGAGGTGTAAATATGGGAGAGAAATCAGCAGACTGGGAGCAGGTGTGGACAGAGGAGTCTAGAAGGGAGCTCGGGGAAATGCGCTGACACAAGAGGGCAACAGAGGGCAAACAAGAAACACAGAATAACTCAAATACAATCAAAAAATACCTAGAATAACACAAAGGGAAATAAAACCAATGAAAACTCAAAGAGAATTTTTAAACAGAACCAAAACCATGACAACATACAGCTTTATAGCGTTCTCTAGGTGCCTCTAATAACTGAAGTGAGATAGACTGCATTTATTATTGTTAATATCCTCTTTTCTCTGATTTGCTGGACTAATGAAACCTTACCTGGAATGTTCTCAATGGCTTCAGTTTAAAGTATGAATTCATAAATATGCCCCAAAATGCAGAAGACCAAACAGAGAGACCAGGGTAAAGTTTAACAGGTTTATTTGAATATGGTGATGAATCCAGTGCTGCTCAGAACACTGTCAAACCGGAACTGGAAGGTGAGGGGAAGACACAGCAGTTAGTTCAGGCTCAGTGGGCTCTACTACCATCCGGACCCTGCCGCATCCCGGGCAGAGAGGGGTCCATGACCAATCACCACATAATGCACCCTGAAGCCCGGCCCATCATTTGCATATAAAGCATAAAAAAATAATAATAATAATAATAAAATCCAACCATGCCACATCAAAGGATTAGATATAGACTCCACATTGAACCCCCCAAAAACCCACCCACCATTGGATCCCAGACAGCACCATGAGAAAATAGAGGCACCAGAAGAATAAGTGTGAGCAGAACGGATGGCTTTTAACCTACTCAGTATTGGATTTAATGGCCAAGAAGACTCTAGGTAGAGGAACCTCACACTCTCTTCAATCAAAAAGCCTGTTTCAGAGCTAGTTATTCTCTAAAACTATAGCAAGTATAATTTTCAGTTTCTACCCTTTCAAACTAGTACCCCTAAAGCAGACTATAGTAACACATATAAATAAACACTGGTTTATATTATATATTATTTATTAATAACACACACTACAGAGTAATCCTAATATTATGACCTTGTCCTGATCTGTCATTGCTGACCCTAGGGCACACCACAGTAATCAAAACACCATGACCATTCTCCACATAAAGAACCCCAAAGCCCTGCCTGTCATTTGAATATGACAGCCCCTCTTATCCCCTAAAAAAACAATGTGGACCAAAAAGTATCACATTTAAATAAAACCCATCCACGCAACATCTTAGGGTAAGATATAGACTCCAGTTTAAACCCCAGACAGCACCAGAAGCAAAATGGAAGGCATAAAAAAACTAGAGGTGAGCAGACAAAACCTCTTTGACCCATAAGCTAATATCATATCTACCTGTTTAATAATAAGTATCATGAGTATAAGATTAACTTGATGTACTTTCAAACCAAGCGCTTATATCAGATTTTAGTTTCACATAGCATGCCAGTTATAATTTTAAAGTTTGCTAGAGGTCTGCAACCAGATTCTAGAATAAAAGCACTAGAGTGAGCTTTACATTACTCATCTTACTTGGTTGCAAGTGGATGCCCTGTAATCAGACACTAGCTTCGTATATAAAACACTTGTTTTTAACAGAACAAACTTGTTTAGAGCTCTGTAACCAGACTAGAACCCAGTGTTTTCCTATTTAATAAGACCACTATAGCATGCTGTACATTGTATCACTCACTTATCTGATTTCAGGCTAGTGGCCTGTAATCAAACACTACCTCCACATAGAACTAAATACTTACTTTTATTCTATTCTATTAAATATTAAGGTAGGCTAACTTTATTGACAACATTTTCAGATTAGACATCATATATATTTAGCTACTGGTGAAGATTCTCAGGCATCCAGGTCATAGACATAAAAAAAAAAGTAAAAAAAAAAAAAAAAAATCTCAGGCATCCAGGTCATAGACATAAAAAAAAAAGTAAAAAAACAAACAAACAATGGATTAATAATTAATAAAAAAGACAATTAAAGCTCTGAACTCAACACTAATTCTGACAATTTGAATTGGAACAGCGTCCTGGATGATAAACGAAACGTCATCAAACTTGGAAACAGTCCAGTGGATTGTTTTTTTTACTTTTCTGGAATATATATTTAGCTGAAACTTTATGAGTAGGTTACAACGCTTCATAATGGAGGAAACTTTAAGATCCTAATTATTTTCAAAAGACCTCGAGCTTTCTGTTTAATATTATACATTTACGCAGCTGCCAAGGCCTGAAAATATTAGAGAAAAGCACCTATTCAGGGTTATGTCATGTAAATAAATTTTATCCTCCCAATTTTATTTGAATCTAAATATAAAAAATGCTAAAGGCTGTCCTGCATGTTTTATATGTGTGTCTTCTTAACCACTCCTGAATCAAATGATTGTATTTCCTCCTCAGCAACCTCCTGAGTGATCAGTAAACTCAGCCTCTCAGCCGTTCAGTTAATTTTACAAAGGCAACTCAATAAAATCAAATACAGTCAGATTGGTAAAAGGTTTTCTATCTAATGAGGCTCTGCTGATTGCATTCAGTCATCGACATTGTAGGGTTTACTTCTATAGCAACAGCTTACATTGTGTTGTTGACTCTACAGCAATCCCTAAAACCGAGCACAAATTCAGCGACAACAGAGGATTAAACCTCCAGTAGAACCAGTGTGAGAGGTGCTCTGCTAAGGCAGGCTGGGGGTTCAAGTAGGGGGAAACAGACATAGATAAAGAGCATAGAAATACTGATTTATGAATACTTTCTACATTAAAAATGGTAAAGCTAAACTAGCTCCATTAGTGGCTCTTTGGAGTTAGAAACCTTTGCTCTAGAGAGCTTCTAATCAGCACTACAGCCTTGCCCCTCTGCCTATAGACTTTGTTATCCTCAATTCCATTGTTAGACCTTTAAGATTTTAGTTTGGCCTCCTGCGTTGTCCTCCGCAGCGATATCCTGTTTTATTGGATTGGTTTGCTTCCTTGTGGTTAATCCTTTTTCAACAAGGATTTTTTTTTTGTATTTTTGTGTTTTTATTTACTTTCGGTTAATTTGCCTCCATTGTGTGTTCCACACCTTTTTGTAAAATGTCATGTCCTCAGTGTCGGCTTAGATGTCTGTGCTAAAGGAAATTCTTAACATCTAAAACTTCAAAATCTAGCAGCAGGGTAAAGAAAAGCCACGGTGCAAGTTGCTACCTTAGTTATCCCTAGACCTGCAAGACACCTTAACATCTAAAAAACTAAATCTAGCAACAGGGTAAAGAAAAGCCATGGTGCAAGTCGCTACCTAAGGCATCCATACACCTGCCAGATATAAAAACAATCAACAAATTATATCTAGGTGTGACTGTTTTCAGAAATCCAGTCTTTCCACTTCCAATCATCCTCAGATCTGCAATAAAATACACCCAGCTTGTCCTACAAGATGAACCAAATTAAGATGATGAAGGGTTTGGTTCTTCTGCTTAATCCTCAGCTTCTCTTCATTGTGGGAAACTGTTGAAGCAGTTTAAGGAAGGTTCTTCTTAAACATCCCTCTCACAACAAGGCCTCTTCCCAGGGAGCTCATCTTCATCATCTTCCTCTCTCCTCCTCCTCCTGGAGACATATTCTTCTGCATGGACTCCTCTTGCTCCTCGTGGTTCCATGGGAGTCTGAAGTTGGGTGGAATCCTCTGGGTGAATGGAGGATGTGGTGGAAGGTGGTCATCATCTTCATCATCTTC